CCCCCCCCCCCCCCCCCCCCCCCCCCTGGGGGCAATATGCTGCATTATTACAGTCGCACGACTTTATTGTTGGGGGTATTGTTTTTTTTTTTTATTATCTACTTTCATAAAAATCGTCCTCTGAGTCTCCTTGGATATCAGACCCAGTGCCAAAAATCTAACTGATGGATGCTGTTCAGCAAACTACTCAGGTACACTGTCTGAATTTGTAAAAGCAGACCCCAAAGTCCTGAATTTTAAAACATCACCAGTGTGCTGGCAATATGGGGACAGTATTGAGTGCACCTGTAGAGGATGAGGGGCTTGTGGCCCACCGATATGTATAGCATTATATATCTGCTGGTCATTAAGCAAAGCTCTTTTATGAGCAGCATTCTTGGCCCCTCATCGGCCCCAATGAACAGAAGTTACCATATTTGGAATATGGAGGAGTGACGTAGAGACGCTGTTTACATCTATGGCAGCGGCAGCGACTGTTTGCTGAGGGAATAAATCAAGAGAGAAGTAGTTATTTTCTCATAGACTTTTATACAATCAGACTTCTTTTTACAACCGGAGGAGTCACCCCTGCTGGCCAGTAGAGAGAATGCAGGTTTGCCCACTTACGCATTGGCTTCAGTCCGCAGAACCGGAGGTTGCCACATTGTTAAATTGGAGAATATGTGATTTCAAAATAAAAGGTTTTTAAATGTTGAACTAACGTCATTTCATACAGCATCCCTGTACCGTAGAGAGCCCTCTGCACTCTTTATGTCACAACTATTGTCACGACCTGTACAGCCGGCTATCACTGCGAAAAAAAAACGTAAATCAAAAGAAATCACGCGATGTGACGGACATAACGGGACCCGTTATACAAATACGGCATGCGGTCGTGATGTCAGAATGCACGCAGTGACAAACTGTTCTTACCTCCTCCTGCTTCCTGCCTCTGTCTCTTATCGGGTGATGATGCTGCGCTCTCCTCTCTCCGCACGTCTGCCCGCAGACCATCAGCAGGGCAGCTAGGAGCAGCGCTGCTGCTGCTGGGTCCTAGCGCCTCCCAATTCAGCGTCCTCACGCAGCAGTGACCAATGAGAGCACCGCCCTCGCTGCTATTTCTGGTCTTTTGTTTTATTTACGGAGTACGGGAGTACGGACCGGTTGGCACACATCAATTATGTCTTGGGAGAAGAGTTTTTAACAAGATTGATGTCAAGGTCAATAGATTAGTATAATTTGAAAAGTAATTTGATAAGTGTGTGAGTGAAAAGGCAGGTTGACCCTTTATTTATCATTATCAAACAAAACAAAACAAAAACATGAAACGAAAACTCGAAACACAAAATTCAAAACTGCGGTAAATAATTATAGATATCCATTTCTGCACTTTGATGGAAAAAGAAAAGTAATTAAATTGAGAAACTATCTTAAAGCAATGAGTTCGCATCTCAAAATAACGACCTTGTATTTCTTAATACTGACTTAGTATGCTATCAAAGAAAGACTTAGTATCTAAAAAAATGATTTAGTATCATCAAAGACATTATTCTGAGACGATAAACCAAAATTCTGAGAACAATTTATTATTTTGAGATACTTAGTAATTATTTTGAGACGCTAACTCATTACTGATGGTTTCTCATTATGACTTACAGGCTTCCACACCACAGCCGTATGTTCTCATCTACACACCGTATAAAGTGCATTTGAGCTGTATTTGCATTGATCAGAAGCTGAGCTGCTCCTGGAGGTGTGTTGCTGTGCTGTGGCTCTTTCCTTTAATGCTCTGACTGACCGAGTGTTAATAATCAGCGAATAAATAAAACTACTGTGCTGGAAGAGACTGCTGTTTGACGTCAACACCCCTCCTTTACCCATGGACAGGGAGCATGTGTGTTTATTCTCTCATGCACGCCCTCGACACCCCAGCACCCTCTAACACAGACCCCCCCCCCCTGGAATAATACTCCAGATGCTCACATTTCATTATATAAAATACATAAATATATAATAAAAATACACCCAGAAATGTTCTTGACGTCAACTCTACTTTTTTTCCCCACGTTGCTTTGTATCCTTTCCCTTGTTTTGTGAGTTTTCACTGTGGACGTTATTCTCATCTCTTCACGTGATGCTGAGCAGCCTAACAATGTTGTGTAACCGTCCTTTCTGCGCAGCAAGGCAGGTGTTCAGGTCGCCCAACAGCACCACCCAGTGGTCAGATCATGTCACTGCAGCGAGGACCTATATTAATATAGAACAGGACACCCGGAAGCTTTATTGTAATGGTTTGGCATTAGATATTAAAGCTGCACTGGGCAAGAACTCAATGTGGAAAAAAGAGAAACATAAACGATAGTTTAGTGTTTTAAGTGTCGTTTTCAACAGTAGAGACTTTATGAAGCTCCGTCCTACAACTCATCTACAGCTTCATTCAAATATTTTTTGGAGTTATTTTTTTTAAATTAATAAATATTAAATTAGGTCTGTTACATTAGATTTTCACTACACAATTATAAGATTCTCTTTTAAGTGCAAATTAATTAAACACAAAATACGTGAGGTATACTATACTGTGTATGAAATGATTTAAGAGGTGATGAATTACGCAACATCATTAACATGGTATCAATATTTCATTTTTTTTTTTTTTTTATATAGTGGTTATTATCGGTAAATCACAACACACTGGGGACCATGGATATTCAGTCTGCAGAACCCGGAGGACGCCTTCTAACGATTTGAAGGATCAGTTCACCCACATCACAAATGAAAAAAATATGCAATCCCATCCACAATAAAACTCATTTTCTCTGCTTTTCATGTCAGCCAGCCCAACCAATAAGAAGCAACATGTACAAGTACTTATTAATTTATTTACACTTTTAAAATACACAAATACAGTGGCATTACAAATGAGGAGCAAAAGTCTTAAGGTGTGGAGTGGAAAAAAAAGATTTCCCATCAGTCCACGGTGAGAGATGCATTGTGGGACATGAGCATCCCACATCCCCCCTGCACGGTTAAAAGCAAAAATTAGACAGGAAGTGACAAAAGTAGAAAGAACTGAGAGAAGCAGACACGACAGACTGAAAAAACAATCTATTATCCCTTGTTAAGTGTACTTGCATCTATCATAGCCATCATCAGTGAGACAAACAAGTTCACCCATCGCCTTTTTTGTTTGTTTTTCAAGCCCACAGGTGAGGTATATTTTTATTAAAAAAAAACAAATGGAGTGAGGCATTCCCATCCCCTCCAAACGCCGCCATCCGGAGCCGTACAGCGGCTCATGTGGACGCGGTAGACGGAGTGTAAGCACATCCTATACACAACAACAGAACCAACATGTACAAAACACCACAACCCCCCCACCCCCCCCAAACCCTCCAACTACAGAAAACAGCCGATGACACCCTGCAAGCGGTCTACCACATCGAGGACTTTCTACTCCAAAAGCTGCAGGATTCATCGGCAAAAAACGCTCGGGCGGAAGGAGACACGGGGTCAGCGAATAAAATAAAGAGCCGCGTGAGGCTCCGGTGCCGCTGGGACCTCCTCCCTTCTTAAGACAAACACTGAGCACCATAGCTCTCCAGAAGCACCCTCACTCACATCCACTCAGCCTGATATTAAAGGGACAGTTCACCCCAAAAGTCAAACATGTTTTTCCTCTTAGCTGTAGTGCTCTTCATCAACCTAGATGGGTTTGGTGCGAGTTGCCTCATATTGGAGACATCGGCCGCAGAGATGTCCGTCTTCTCTCCAATGAAATGGGACTATATGGCACGCCTGTATTTTTGATTTGGTGAACTGGCCCTTTAAAAGTTCATCGGCCCATTTTCTATCTCGGACTCTCGCAGCGCTCGAAAAATTGAGGATATGAGCTCCAAAAACCCTTCGTCCTATATTTCCCATAATGCAACGAGATAGTCTTTTCTACAGAAGGCATTCTACTAGTACTCTCCATGAACAACGGACAGGTCTGGATGTTAACAAAGATGGTGGAGCGTGCCTTTAATTTTGTCATACGTCATCTCATCTGAATTTACTGGCTACTGGTTTTGGATTGGGATAAAACTAGAAGTAACGGATCAGGACGTTGGCCGATTTTGGACCAAACTCATGAAGTTTGATGACGTCTTGGCGGTAGATTTAAGTACTTAAATCCACGGCCAAGACAGTTTTCTGTAGAGTCTACTGGGCTAATATGGAGAGAGATTTTGTTCCCCGTCTGTCAATAAAGACGGACAGTGAGCGTCTGACGAGGTCGAGGTAGGAAATGCCCAGATGGGCAATGGAGGGGGGTGGGGGGGGGGGGGACAAAGCAAACAATGGAGGCAGAGGATGAGGTGGTCTAGAGTGAGCTTAGGAGTGAAAACCCTAAAAGAAAATACCCCCCCTCAACATGTTCACCCCCCACCCCTTTGAGCTTGTATAAACCCCCCCGAGACAGAACCGCACAAACAAACAGACAGACACACACACACACACACCACAACAACCACCACGTCACTATGCACCGGGTTAAAAACAACGTCTCGTCCGCTCGGTGCGGACGGACCTTTTCCCATTCACAGCTTTCCCAAAGCAGCGCAACCGCAGTCACGACCTGAAGACAGAAAAATGTGCTGCGTGTTTTTGGATTTACTACCACGTCCTGGTTCCAACGCACCTGAGGAGGAGGAAAACAAAAACAACAAAACAAAAAGTCGTACTGTGGGATCACCATTGGAACATTAAAAGAGCCTTTCTCACATTTTAAAAACAAGGGAGTTGTCCTACCTTTACACCTCAAACACCTAAAGCAAAAAAAAAGAAAAGTCTTCCAGGACACAAAACAGAGTTTGGGCACCGTCCTTTAATGCTGCCGTGACGGATCAAATGTCTTTGTGATCAAAAATGTCCCACACACTACTTTCAAACAAACACTCGTCCTTTTCAAACCCTTGTGAAGAGACGCTTTAAAAATTAGTAAAATCAACGTTTTAAAAAGATGCCAGAGGAAAGTGACTCCATGGCATCATCGACAGTAAGGAGGAGGGAGGCCACGGCTGCTACCGAACTATACTCCACCCATCTCTCACTCACACACACACACACACACACACACACACACTCCTGGTTGTGCGCCTCATCCTCTGTCAGGTGTACAGGAGGGCAGCCAGTTGGTAGTCCTCTGTGTCATTGAAGAGTCGTGTGTGTGTGTGTGTGTGTGTGTGTCTGTGTGTGTGTGTGTGTTGCAGGCGGTGCGTGTTGAGGCCTCCGTGGTGCACAGGTGGATGGGGAGGGTTTTTCACCGCGGCGCTGCAGACTGGAGGCCGCTGGGCGTGACCCGGGACAGGGCCTGCAGAGGGCACATGGAAATTACTTATTTTTTCCATCAGATATAAAACACAAATCTCTTTAAAAACATATTATATAAGGTAATCATAAATCATAAGCTCCAACTACATAAATAAAGGATCAATAAAAAAAAAAGATCAACCCATTGTGAGTTCATGCTTTAAGTCTTTCCGAAAGACAAGCAAGCAGCTTTTAAAAACGCTTGTTTTCTGAATGGAGTTTGGTTTGATCAGGGCTCGGCTTTGCCAACATTGTAGCCGTTCCATCGCCACTCAAAATAACGTCATCTAACATAAACACGGCGGCGGCGTAATTGTTTGTACTACAGACTGAAAGCTCGCTATGCGTTTGGTGTGGACACAACATTCCCTTTCAGACAGAAAGGGAATGTTGTGTTTTTAGGATGATCCCTTTAACATCATCTTATGATAAATAGACCAAACACCAGAAACACGGCTCATTTCTAAAGCACTTAAAAAGGGCTTGGATTCCAACACAGAAAATCCTGCAGTCGCATACATTGATATTTTTGTAACAATGCAACAATAACATTGCACTAGTTATTATCAAGGGCCTCATAATATAAATATATAAAAGAAAACATCCCCCATTACACTCTGTGACCTCCTGGGGGAGCACTCGGTCTACAGAGAACTAAAGGAAATGATGAAGCGCTGCTGTTCAGATCCACACTACCAGCTGGATGAACTACTGCAGCTATTTGGTTGCTTCCCCTCAGTGAATGTAAAAAAAGGGGAACAAACTAACATTTGGTATCATTGAAAAAGGGAAGTGTATAGATGCCGATACACAGTGTGTTCTCTTGTAATCTGCTTGTTCCGTTTTTGTCAGTCTTTGTTAGGTAATAGTAGATTTCACAATATGTACTGTTGGGCAGTGCAAAGTCCTCCCTTTGTTCTTTTTAATTCTCATTTCTTGTACCCAACAAAACCTTTCCTGCTCTACTGTGAAAAACAAAGCTTGGTACGTCAGACCTGTCACTACAGCGTTGGGATGCTTACTGTTGAATTGTAACAAGTTACAGATTACTAGTTAGTCTTTTAAAAATGTAAGACGTAATTACATTTGATTACTTTTATAACAAGTGTTTTAAACTGGGCAGTAAAGCTGAAAAGCCCTAAAACCTCACAACAAAGAAAAAAATCAAGATGGCAACGGACAAAATTAAAAGATGCCGACAGCCATAATTTCAAAACTTTGCTTCACAACGGTACTCAAGACCAACTGTCAAACTTTTAATAAATTCTACAATATACCTTGAATTAAGATTGGAACAGAGCAACATAATGAATGTTATATTCTGCATATAAACTTTTTACTCAAAAACAATATACTCGGATGTAACCCCTTAGTAAACACCAACATTTTTAATAGTAACTGTAATTAAATGACCTATTGTTCACAGTAACTTCAGCTGTTCAATTACATTTACTCGTTAATTGTATTACGTAACTCCCCGACACCGAGCTTTGTGATTATTTGAGCTGACCGCTGTCATTTTGCATAGTCGTTACAAACAGCAAGTGAATTAGGTGCGTTTCCATCAGCTGGGTGAGTAAAGTGTTCCAACGTCAGGAGAGAGAACACCATGCAAACAAAGCTGTTGGACCGGTTCTCCGATTAGCTAACCACAAGTGCTGCTTTGAGAGGCCATAAATCTCTTGATGTACAGCGGCTGCCGCAGCAGCATGTTTGACGGTGCTAAGGATAGTGTCGCTAGGAGTTGCTTCCATCCAGCTTTACTGATTAGACAGTTCACATAAATGCAGTCTCGTCTTGCGTCTTCTTAGACAGTTTAGCGAGAGGTGAAACGCCATAAAATGAATCGCAATTATCCGTATGACAACGAATCTTCAACTAAACCTCATGATGCGACAGCCCGAGTCAGACCTTGTGGATTTCATACATTACATAACTAAGCGACGTGTCTTTGTGCACGTGTGTTACCTGTGAGGACATGCGCGATGCGTCCTGGCGTCCCGTGAGATCCGAAGAGGAGATGTTGACAGGCGCCCCGCGATGAAGACGCATGCTCACCTTCCTCTCCTTCTCCAAACCTGTAAAGGGCACAAGAGGTCAAATGATGGAAAAGCCCCGACTGTTATGTTCAAACTGCACATTAAATTACAACAGCTGGGTTATGTCAGTCAGCTGATTTCAGCTTCTTTTTCTACTGTTAAGGGTGTGTGTGTGTGTGTGTGTGTGTGTGTGTGTGCGCGCGCTGACCTGTGGCGGGGTTGAGTGGTGAGGGAGCCGCGACCTCCTGAGTTGCCCTGGCTCTTCCTGAGGCCGAGGCCAGGCCCCTGGCTGCGGGGTTCCTGCTGTGCCTCAGCCTCTCCTCCCGCTCCCGACGCTCCCTCTCTGCGTCCTCCACGGCCCTGTTGGCTCCCTAAAACAAACACACACACGGTTAACTCTGTGCAAACTCTCCGAACTTCCGTTTAGTTCAGCTTTCTAGCTACAACAGATGTCATTTGTAATTTGTCACTGGCTAAATCACCATGGCCTCGGCATTCAACTTTGTTGAAGTTAGAACTTTATCTTTGGTTTGAATGAAATCCTGGAGTGGTCCAGGCCGGCCCTCTGGTCTGCCTCTCTCCAAAATACAAGTGGTTTAAAACCCAGAAGAGAGGCTTAAAATAAGACCATGAAAGTGTTTGTATGTAGTCAACAAGATGTTTAAACTAAACACAAAGTCAGTTTGTTTAAAAAGGTGCAATCGGGCCAGAAATTTAGTTTCAAAACATTAAAAAAAATGAACTGACATTTACAAGCGGTGTGACTTGTAAAACCGCTCATATCTCCAGAGTCATTAGTGAGTCACTGTAGCGTCCTCAGAGCTGCACTGAGGGCTTACCAATAATACATCCATCCGTGTACGTTTTATAGTTTATAGAAGAGTGAGAACAACTTTTTTTCTTTTTCTTTTTTTTTAACTTTCAGCAGTTTGGGTGAATTCTACATATTCTTGCCCTGCTGTAAGTTAGTTGTGAGGATTCTTTTTAATATAACTGATGACTCTAAATTTAGATCGTATGGACCCAGTAACAGGTGAAATGTTGACTCCTATTTCTTTGGCCAGGTACTACACGTTGCACCTTTCTGGCTAAATATCAAGAAACCCGGACTCAGTAATAATGCAACCAAATACTTACAAACTTGAGCATGTTCCAGTCGAAGACGTAGTCGTAGGAGAAGCCCTGCCTGTGGAAGAGGTTCCTGAAGAGCTGGCGGAGGTACGAGTAGTCGGGCTTGTCATCGAAGCGCAGGGAGCGGCAGAAGTTCAGGTAGGTGGCAAACTCCGCTGTAGGGGGAGGGGGGGGGGATCGGGACACATGAGCAGTGAGGGTTTGGTTTGGATCAACGTTAATACTTATGGAACTAACAAAGAGCGGAGAGACTTACATGGGTAGCCTTTGCAGAGAACCTCAATGGGCGTGGACATTTTCTTCTCGCTGATGCGCTCGTACTTCTGCCTCTTGGTGGCGGCTTTCAGGCCTTGCCAGGGAAGAGAGCCCAGGTTGAAGTACATGAGGACGTAGCCCAGCGACTCCAAGTCGTCCCGTCTGGACTGCTCTGTGGACGCAAGAGGACAAAGTCAGATTGGCAGCGTGGACGGGGTTCCATCCATTCATTGGAGGATTTTGTGGACGCCGGTCTTACCGATGCCCAGGTGCGTGTTGATGGAGGCGTAGCGCGCCGTGCCGGTCAGGTTCTTGTTCTCGCGGTAGGGGATGTGCTGGTGTGTGCGCGCGTCGCGGTACTTCTTGGCCAGGCCGAAGTCGATGATGTAGACCAGGTTGCCCTTCTTGCCCAGCCCCATCAGGAAGTTGTCCGGCTTCACGTCTCGGTGGATGAAGTTCTTGGAGTGGATGTACTCGATGCGGCTGATCTAGAGGAGAGAAGCGGGAGAGGGTGCGATTATCGTTAGCGCACAAACACGGATGACACGCGTTCCGATTCGACGTCCGATGAGCGGGCGCTACGCGGAGACCATCGGGACTCACCATCTGATCGGCCAGCAGCAGGACCGTCTTGAGGCTGAACTTCCGAGAGCAGAAGTTGAACAGGTCCTCCAGGCTGGGCCCCAGCAGCTCCATCACCATCACGTTGTAGTCTCCCTCGGCCCCGCACCACTTTATCGTAGGAATGCCCACTGGAGGAGAGAAGGAAAGAGGGAGGAAGGAGAAATATTTAGTCCTTATTGAAGGAGTATTTTGATACAAAAAGCTGTTTACGTTACCAAAAGATGGGTGTTTTCTCCACAGGTACCTTGAATATCTTCAAAATTCTGAGTAAATATACTGAATATTATAGTTTCTTGTACTCTATGGTGGCTCAAGGCTAAATGTGATACAAGTCTTAAATCACAATATTTTAATAGTCTGGTGCAGGCCGATGTAATGTTACTATTGACAATAAAATGTTGATGGGGACAAACTGTCCACCCACACCTGAGCATCTGCGGGCACACGCACACACACGCGCACATACACAGGAGCAGTGTGAAGGCAGAGGCCAGCTGGTTTAGCAGTAGCTGGTAATTGGCTGATGTTGCCAAGGCAAAGAGGCCATCTGGCATTCCCTTCTATCGGCAGATGGCAACAAAATGATGTTGCGTGCGTGCGCACACTCACTCACTCACTCACACACTCACTCACTCACACACTCACACACACACACTCTCTCACACACACACACACACACACACACACACACACACACACACACACACCTATTTATATACGTACAAACGCAAATACAGCCCTTGGTCTGGGTCAGCCAGCGTGCCCCGATACATCCTAGCGTGCTGGGACACAAATACAAACGCATGCGTGTGCACATTTGTAACAAAGTTGTACACGCAGTCAAGCAGACTGTTATATTATTGCTGATGTAATAAATTCATTTGAAAAAAAAGGTGCTAAACTAAAAATTTTGAGCATTTGTATAACCGCAAACACTGACTTGCTCTGTAAAGATATAGTAAGGTCAGCGCTGTTGCTTGCACCGTTAGCTGCTAGCCGCCGGCTCAGCGGCCGCCATGTTGAGAGCCGTATGGCAGCAAATCCCTCAATCACATATATGCTCTGAATGTGGAACTTAGCACCTTTTTAAAAATGCGCTACTTTGACTCTGATGCAGCCGCCTCTCTCGGTCTGTTTCGTCACTCAAAAGCCTCCAATCTGTTTGGTTACACGTCATGAGTAACAGCCCACTGACTGTCACTGACGGGCAACATTGGTCTAGACTTCTGTCCATTCTTGAGACTCTCTGGGGAGGAGTGCGATGAGTGGATGTCGGTGTCAGTTTTCTTTAACCGAGGAGGCAGAATACTTACAGACACACTTTTACATCAACATGTTCTCCCACCTCACCAGAAAGGTTCAGTTTCCAAACACGGTTTTGTGATCAGGGAGGGAATTAGGCTACAAAATAAGATCCCTGCTACAATATAATATAATATAATATACAGCTTATGACAATATAGGAGGCCTGTATTGACGTGGAGAACATAGTTCATTAAAATACAAACAAAACTTTACAGAGTGACAGGATGCGTGTGCACGTGTACCGTACCTCCGCCCTGCATCATCTTGTAGATCTTGCTCTCGATGTGGAGCTGTGGGTGTTTGGTCTTCACGCATTCCAACTTGATGGCAACCTCCTCTCCGACAGAGATGTCCGTACCTAGACGGGACAGACAGAATGCAGGACGTTAATCGGAGTACGCAGACGTTCACTGCGGCTATTGATTTGTCTCGTGTAACAGTATCTCATCTGCAGCAGAGCGTGGGCAAGTCGAAGATGTACTGCCATCGGGTCAAAGTCCAGCGTAATCACGTTTATCCAAGTCCTATAATTCAATGAAGCTAACTTGACATGAAGATAATAATTTCACTTTCCCAAAAGTTTCATAGTGACACA